CAGGAGACCTCATACCATCCCGGACCTCATACCATCACACTGATTTCAGAAAGCTGGCTATCATCTAAGTCGGTGTACGATTGTGGCCTCCGAATTTTCCCCCCCTTTCCGTCAAATTTAACCAGGAAATACAGAGTAGACAGGGTATCTACGAGGGTCTTCAGCCATGAATTCATCAGGTTTATTCTTACCAATCTGCACAGATTTTATTCTGTAATTAAAGCTTCAGTGGATTGCTCTACCAATAAAGACAAAAGTGTTTTTTTTGCATTGTTACATGTATTGTCAGTGAAGCATTTAAAATGGCTTTATTCTCTTTTCCTTTTCCCCCTATTGACCTCCACTTCCACCAACCTACCAAGGGTAAATATTATTCACATATATGCCCCCCCCAATGCCCTTTATAGCCTAATAGCCCATTTGGGACACAGACTGCTAGAGCATTTAGCATTGAGTGGATCCAGGATTTAGTTTGCCTTTGGGATGAGCTCTCCAAGGTGCTGAAATAGGTTCATCACCTTGAAGGACTTGCGTAAAGTGCAGGAAAACCTTGAGTGGATTCCCAAGCCCTCCGAAACTGGAGTCACCAGTTGCCACTGCCTCTAGTTGTGAGGGGACTGCCGCTCCCAGAATTCCCTGGTGCTGACAAGTGCTGGTGGGAGGCACAATTTGGATCCGGTTTAGGATTAGAAAGGAAAAGGAATCAAACTTCGACTATTCCTTCCAAAAATGCTGTTGATGTGTCTTTGAAGGTCATTTTTTTAAAAAAGGAACTAAAATGCTCTACTCTTTATACCAATAAAATAACTTGGTTCTCATTCATTGTGTCATTTCAAAAGGTAACTTCATAAGAACCGCACAGTTTTCTCTGTTGTGATGGACTATGAAGACTCTCCTAAATATCTCACTAAAGCAGTAACGACAGCAAAGCAAGGGCCTTTACCATCTTCTGAGAACTGCTCGGGACTAGAACTTCCTCCAAGCACTGGGTAACAGTTGTAATTTGGCTGCAAGGCGGATATTGCAGCTAAACTACAACTGTAATTACACACTTGCCTAGTGTGTAAATTAAATTATACCTCAAGACTTGTCTGACGTGGGGCTTGCCATGTTTCTGTGCGCCTCTGTTCCCAGCCAAAATGAAGCCATGTGCTTCAGTATGAGGCAAAGAGAGGATGCTGAGTGACTGGCAGCCTTCTATCTACCAAAACTGGAAAGACAATGGAATCCACACCACACATTCAGTTCTGCAATATTTATTCTTACAGTGTTTGGAAAATGGAGAATAACAAGTACATCTGCCATTTTCTTGACATCCAGAGAGCAGTTACTGCAACATCATGTAACAAAAAAAGAGAGGAAAAAAACATTTGTACAGTCTTTAAAAATTAATTGATTTGTTTTAGCATGCATTCCTAGAAACTGGAAATCCTGGAAAATTGGAAATTTCCAATCCACCTCCTCGTGTACGCGGAATACCATATTCAAGCCACAAGTTTATACCATGTTTCCCCGAAAATAAGACAGGGTCTTATATTAATTTTTGCTCCAGAAAATGCAGTAGGGCTTGTTTTCAGGGGATTTTTTTTTTCATGTACAACAATTACATTTATTCAGATATAGTCCTGTCATCTTCTGGTTGCTGCACAAGGGTGGAGGGCGGCGTTTCACATAACTAGGGCTTATTTTTGGGGTAGATCTTATACTGCAAGCATCCTGAAAAATCCTATTAGGGCGTATTTTCAGGTTATGTCTTATTTTTGGGCAAACAGGGTATGATCATGGTTTTAGGAGTGGAAAGAGTGAGAAAAGGGACACCAAAAACCGAGAACTGCATTATTAACATTGGTCATGATGGTGCTCTGTAATACACCTGTTCTCTCTCCTTTTTCTCTTGCCGTTCATCTTACAACATTATTATTTTTATATCCCTATATGGACAAATGCTTTGATTCCTTTTTTGCTCCGCTGTTTCACATTTCAAATCAATGAATGAGAAAGGCAGGTTGGAATGATGGCATGAGATTAAAAGGGAGATTTAAAAAAAAAAAGGTCAAAAAAACAATGTTGTGGAAGAAAGGGGAGAAATTATACAACCTAGAACGGTATCCTTTTGCTGCCTCTCAACTTATTTTCTTCTTAGTCCAGAAGCATAGACTATCATCATTCCAGATGAATGGAAAAGTAAGTACAGCTGCCTGAAAAACATTTCCCAGACCTCTTTCAAAGAACTGCAGTGGATTAATAAACGGGAGGCCCTGATGAAAAGGTGTAGTACTTGAAAGAATTGACTCCGTGGAGAAACCTCTCTCTCTCTCTCTTTCTTTTTATTCCCCTTTTCTCTCGCTTACTGGGTCCCTGGAGTCAACAGTGTCTCTGTCTGCCAGCTAAGATCTGATGCGGCTGCCAGCAGATAAAAAAGAAAAACCCGAACCACCCAACGCTGAAGACGATGGAGAGAGATTTTGTCACTTAGATCTAGGCTGATGTTGCATACCAGAAATAGAAAAGCAGTAAGAGGAGTGGAAACCCCATACAGAATATTTTTACTCCTGAAACAGATCTCACAGTAACGGTTGGTCTTCACTCTCCAGAGTGTCTTGTGCACACACTTCTGCTGCTGTCTGCCATCTCGTGGGGTAAAAGCAAACCACACTCGTTATTATTTCTTGCTCCAGAATTCATGAGTCGATGGACACCCCCTCGGTGGTGGAGACCATACAACCCACGCTTCTCCTGATGGACTAGCCGCCTGTTTCGGGAGGGCAGACAAAACAATTTTTCTGGGGGTCCGTGTGGAGCCATTAGGACTTTAAAAGGGGTGGGTGGGATGGACTGGGGAGGGCCTGGCATGCAGGTGAACCCATCCTGGCCGATGTTCTACAAAGATGAACGTCCTTGTGGGGGAAGATGCCATGCGAAGCCATGGCATTAAACCAAAGGCTTTGATCTACATGGCTTCTGGTTGGTTCTGGTGTTGGTTTTGGGAGGGATTGTCCAAGAACACAAATGTGTGCACTTGTGTAAACAATTAGGCTGTAGCTTGTGTGCAAAAGCAATGTGCTCAGGATGTTTAATTTGCAATGTGCGGGTGCCTACGGCCACTCAGGTGACTACTGGGTATTAGAAAAGGTAGGGCTTGTTTTTGCAGTTTTTTCCTGCCGAGACATCTTTGTTGTTGTTGTTGTTGCTGTTGTTTTTACGTTTTTTCCTGCCGAGAGAGACGTCTTTGTTGTTGCTGCTGTTGTTTTTGTTTTGCTTTTGGTTTTTGGTGTGTGTGTTTTGTTTTTGTTTTTTTGCTGCTTCCTTTTCCAAACTTTTGCAGGCTCAGGCGCTCCAGCTGTGAAATGGATGCCCGGCTTGGCCGCGGTGGCCGGCTACCACCTCGTGGGTTCTTTTCCAAACTTTTGCAGGCTCAGACTCTCCAGCTGTGAAATGGATGCCCGGCTCGGCCGCGGTGGCCGGCTACCACCTCGTGGGAGGCTGCAGTAATACAGAAGCATTTATTTTATTTATTGATCTTTATTTGTGCGCTTCGGAAAAGGAACGAAAACCTCTGGTGTTAAGGAGATGGGAAGGGTTTTTTCCTAGCCTAGAGGCATCTCAGCATTTCAGCTCTGATCCTACACCCCAGGGAAGGATGGGGACATTGGGGACTACAATCCCCATAATTCCTGGTTATGGGGCTGGCTTCCCTGGGGCTGAAACTTCCCCAACTCCCCTTGCCCGAAGGGGGGGGGCGCTTAAATGAATGCACGAGGTTGAGTTGCGTTGCCCCGATGCTAAGCAGCTGCATCATCATCATCATCATCAAGTAGCGTGGAACAGTAGTTCGAAAGCCGCACCAAGGCGGTCGGTCATTTCCCCGCAAGATTGTTGAGAAAGAGGGATAAGGGAGGCCTTGCGGGCGACTTCCCGTTGCCATGGAGAACGCGGCCTCCAGTTGCCATGGAGACAGAGGCGACGGAGGTGTCCGGGTGGTTGCTAGGCGGAGCCGTTAGGTTTCGCTGTCACGCGCTGGTTACCCGGGAAACCGAGGCGGTACAGTGATGACGTAAAGCGCCGCGGTGAGTTCTTTCCCACTGTTACGTGGTCATAGATGTAGGAAAATATAGAACAACAAGTAACACGCCCTGTTGACCTTTGAAACTTCCGGGCTCCTTTACAGCGCACTTGCTGCTGGGAATTGCAGTCCGAGAACATCTGGGTACCCAAGTTGGAGAATCACTGATCTACTCAACCCCCCTTCCCAAGGCAGAAATCCTCAGCTGAAGCAAACGTCCAGGCCAGTGGTTCCCCATCTTGGGTCGCCAGATGTTCTTGGACTACAACTCCCAGAAGCCTTTGCAACTGGTTGGTTTGGCTAGGATTTCTGGGAGTTGCAGTCCAAGGCCACCTGGGGAACCCAACATTCGGAAACCACTACTCTAGGCAGAAGCACACATCCTGAGTTCTGTGACTTTCAATCTCAGAAATAAATCGGATTTTTGTTCCTTGCTTTTCTTACTGCTCGCTGAAAAACTTTTGGCATTTGCCAATAAAATGCACAAAAAGTACACTAATAGGGGTTGAAAGAACATAGACGCCTCCTTTCTCTGCATTCATCAAAGACAGCCAGGTTGTTTCATAAGAAACGTTCCAAAATCTACCTTTTGTTTTTAAAAAATCCTTTTTTTAAAAAACAAAACCACCAAATGTCATAACATGATGGAGCAGGTCTTCCATCCTCCATCACTCTTTATCAGTTTCCAATATGAGTCTAGTAAAGGCAGTAAGTAGCCAACTCTGGATTTTCAACCTTGGAAAGTCCAAAACCTGAGAAGTCACCAGAGTGAGAAAAACTCTTAATTCACTTGTGTTGGAAACTGAGTTTGTCAGAGGCCGCATATAGGTCACACCTGGGGATGAGGATGATTTTTCAGCAGCATCTCTTCCCATTATTAGATGGCAACACAAAATCTTTCCCAGAGCAAACCGCATTAACAACATGAGCTTTTATTGTAAAATGCGATGTTCTGGCGTGACTGACAAACTGGGAAGAAAATTAATAGAAACATGTATCTAAGTAAAAAGAATAGTGGTTAAAAGACATCTAAGAATGAGCTGAAAGAAGATGCAAAAGGTCGCCATCCATTCACAAATTGTCTAACCTAAGGATTTTGTTAAAAGGAAGCCGGGTCAGGAATTCACATGCAAAAGCAGATACTTTCCCATGCCTACTTTACGTGAACATAACTGCTTCTTTAAAAATATTTTTAAAAAACAGACCAAACAAATTAACAAAAACTCCACCACGCCTAACTTTTTTAACTTTGCGCAAATTAATTCTGCAGCCCATTACGCCGCCAGGGAGTAGCTAATGGTTCGGGAAGCACCAGGGCAAGGAACCACAAGCCGTCTACGGTGAGAGTCCAGTAATCAGAACGATATACACAAAGACACAGGTGCAATTTTTAAAATCAGAGTTCCTCTGGACCTGGTGGGAAAGGCTAGAATTTGTAAAGTATCTAGCAAGGTGAGGTGGTTCCTGGAGCTGCCCCAGCACCACTGCTCTTAACAGTGATCACTTCTGGAGCCACGCCTAAGCCTCTGTCGTGTACTGCTTGTGAACAGGCCTATCAAACAACATGCTTGGAGACCCATATAGGCTGCCTGTATATCTGTGTCGGTGCCATACAGAGAATGTGGACGACTGTAGACACACTTCCCGGAATCACCTGCAAGCGACCTGTGGCTGAGCCCAGGGGATCCTCCAGCAGGGACTGAAGAACGGCCACAAATAGTAACGTCTAAAGGTCTGCTGCTGACTGGACTCCAGAAATCTCCCACGTCAGGCAACCGCCAAGCCGAGAGGAGCCCTTTGCTTGTGACGGTCGGAAGCGGTGGCGCTGCCGAAGGGGGAAGGCACCCAGATGTAGAGGGAGCAGGGCAGTGGGTGTCACTGCCCTCCGCCTGATCCGGAGCCTGGAGTGTTTGGTCTGGATGGGAACGGTGGCGAACTGGTACGGCTGGCCACGGAAGGCAGATGCTGCAGGGAGGCCTGGCTGGTGAACGACGACGAGAAGGTGAGGCTGGAGGCTGGACACAAAAAAAGACAGAAGGGCCCAGGAGACAGCTTTAAAGAGGCAGGAAAAGCTGTCTCTCCTGACCCCCCCCCCCATTTTGAATGGAGGTGTTTGGGAAAAGGCTGCAGATGAACATCTTAAACCCAGAAAGGTTTGTTAGCATGAGGACTGCAGTAGGACCCTCGAATCCACAGAAGATTTATTCCAAGACAACCCACCCCACCCCCGTGGATGCTGAAAAACACAGATTATAGTGAATACTATACGTTGCATGGTTTCTGTCTCCCTCTACTGGCTGGTTGTAGTAACTTCACCTTCAAAAATTTATATTTCTAGGATTTTTCTTTTAATACAGTGGTGCCTCGCTTAACGGGTGCCCCGCTTAACGACGAAATCGCATAGCGATTAACTTTTTGCGATCGCTTTTGCTATCGCTTTGCGATGTTCCCTATGGGGAAAAATCACTTTGCGATGATCGGTACCCTGTTTCGCTTACCGATCATTGCAAAGTGATGATTTTTTAACAGCTGATCAGCGGTTCCAAAATGGCCGCCGGGTTAAAAAAATGGCCGCCCGCTGTTTTCTGGGACGGATTCCTCGCTTACCGGGCAGCGAAAATGGCTGCCGTATGGAGGATTTTCACTTAAAGGTGAGTCTGAAGCCCACAGGAATGCATTGAAGGGGCTTCAATGCATTCCTATGGGCTTTTTAATATTGCATAGCGACGAAATCGCTTTGCAGCAATTTTTGCTGCACTGATTATTGTTGCTATGCAAGGCACCACTGTATTTTTAAGATTCAAATATTTAATATGGATAAGTGAATCAGTGGATACCGATCCTGTGGATACAGGGATCCTGCAAAAAATGACAGCGAAGTAACAAGCTCTGCCCCCATGCCCTTCCTCAACGGGAAAGCTATTATCCGTGGGGGCTGGCAGCCTCGAAGAGCTGGGACTTTCCAGATCCACATTTTATCTGGGAAGCCCAAGAAGTTCCAAGTAGGGAATTTCTCCTTCCAACTGGTGGTCAACTCACCTGCTCGGAAGGCGAAGGCTTCCTCCAGCCGCCGGGAGAGCCTGGTGATGTGGGCCTTGACCTTGGGGCCCAGTGCATAAACGGCTATGTAAAGAATGAGGAGGCCAACCGTGACGGCCATTGAGATCTTCAAAGAGAAGGAGAAATTCATGAAGGGCTGTGAGGGTGTAATTACCTGAGCACGGTTCATACGGCAAAGTACAGTAGTGGCAAGGTCTCATCAAATGCACACAACCACACAGATCTACAAAAGCTGGAATGCCCTGGGTTAAGAATGCTGGGCTTCATTCAGCCTCCCCCCCCACCCCCGCAAACCTTTTACTGGGATCTCTTCTTTGCCTTTTGAGTCTTATTGGTAAAAACAGAAATTTAGCCTGGGGAACTGTGCCCGACAGCTGGATATGAAGGGCTATCACCGAGAGAAGAATATCAACAGCAGCAAAGAGAAGAAGCAGGAATCGAACACTGGATTAACCCATTAACAATCCCTCCAGATTTGGAGCTGTCAGAAGGCTTCACGAGTATGACTTTAATCATCCTTACAACATCCCTGCCAGCAAGGTCGGTGTTATAATGCCTCACGTTGCAAAAAAAGGGTTGCAGGGGCCAGCTGAGGCTGAATGCCTTGGGGAGCAAGCCATATAGTAATGCATAGCTGAGCAGGATTTAAGTATCGGTGAGGGTTTGCTTCGCTCAGGTTGCTGAGGGTCCTGCTGTCAAACCTTTGCTGCTGCTACTGATCAAAGTGCATTGTCTGGATACGCCCATCTGCCCTCCCCGAGCCTATCTGATCTCTGCAATCATCCTCACAGCCCCTCTCCAAGTCCCCCTGCCTTCTGATGCTCTTGTAAGCACAGCTACTCTTACCTTCAGGAGAAAAAGCGACCGGGAGGGGCTGAGACGCAGGCCGTGGACGTGGACAATGAACTCCAAGGCGTAATCGCAATAGGTAGTCTGGTCGACTCCCCTGGAAAAGCAAAAAAGCGGGGAAATGTGGGTTGATTACTGGAGCAGAGGACCTTGCCCATGGGCCCGCTGCTCGGTTTTAGATCTTCCTTTCGTCTCACAACGATCGTGTCTCTACACGGGTTTCTCCCTGGTATTCTACCATATTAATGATTTGTTCAGAAAGTACCAAACGGGGGGAGTGCACCATGGTTATTCTGCCAAGCTTGCAAAGGATGCCCATGGAGAATTCTGAGCGTGGTAATCTGAAAAAAGGAACATTTCTGAATTCCTCAGTCCCGCTGTGAGAAACAGACGAGTTAAGGAAAAGCCGTCACGATCACGATCCCCAGAGGAACCTGCCTGGCGCATCTCTACCTGCTTCGCGCTGCCACAGCATGTGCTAGAGCCAGGTAAAAACCTCTTTATCCTCTTGAAACGAAATGATCCCATCTTTCCAAGTGTAGGAACAGAGCAGAATCTCTCTACTTTAGAGGTGGATTCCTTTTGCTTCTCCAAAGGGTCCTACTCTTAAGGAGATCAGCTGTCTGCCACCTGGTGCTTGAACCAGTTGCACTACATGCTTTGTTGTTGTTGTTTAGTTGTTAAGTCGTGTCCGACTCTTCGTAACCCCATGGACCAGAGCATGCCAGGCCCTCCTGTCTTCCACTGCCTCCCGGAGTTGGGTCAAATTCGTGTTGGTCACTTCGATGACCCTGTCCATCCATCTCATCCTCTGTCATCCCCTTCTCCTCTTGCCTTCACACTTTCCCAACCTCAGGGTCTTTTCCTAGGAGTCTTCTCTTCTCATGACATGGCCAAAGTATTGGAGCCTCAGCTTCAGGAACTGTCCTTTCAGTGAGCACTCAGGGTTGATTTCCTTCAGAATGGATAGGTTTGAGTCCAGGGGACTCTCAAGAGTCTCCTCCAGCACCACAATTCAACAATTGAACTCGAAGACCAAACTTACCTGTTGTTCCTTTTATCTCTTGGCTCCCTACTTTAGCATTCCAGTCTCCTAGAATGAGAAGATCATCTTTCTTTGGTGTCAGTTCTAGAAGGTGTTGTAAGTCTTCACAGAATTCATCAATTTCAGCCTCTTCAGCATGGGTGGTTGGTGCATAAACTTGGATTACTGTGATGCTGAAAGGTCTACCTTGGATTCGTATTGAAATCATTCTATCATTTTTGAGATTATATCCCAGTACAGCTTTTCCCACTCTTTTGTTGATTATGAGGGCTACTCCATTTCTTCTACAGGATTCTCGCCCACAATAGTAGATAAAATAATCGTCTGAATGTCACTACATGCTACAGAGGTTTTAATTGGTTAAAATTAACTAATCAATTTTTAAAAACAAAATACCTCTAAGATCTATGACCTCTGGATCCTTTCTAGTTCCACATTTTTAATTGATCATAAGTTTTAAAAATCGCTTACTGCAACCAATTGAAAACCACAAACCTTTTAAATAAGTTTTAGTTGAGACTTTTTTAAAAAAACACATGCCATGATTGCAGCCTTGCATGGGAATTTTTATTAATGAAAGCCTAGAAATGCAGTTCCTTACATTATACATGAAACTGATGTTAATACAACTTATTTTAAATATCACGCATCAGTTACCTGTTGGACACTTTGACCACAAAGTAGTACTCAGGCGCTGACATAGTTTCGGGAACAATATCATAACAGGGAGAATTCTTCTGGCACACCCACCTACGAAAGGAAAGATATTTCTCAAGGAGGGTTTTACACATTAGGACCACGGTATCTGCAGGAGATTTCTTCAAAGCCCACCACCCAGGAAATGTGGAGGTAGGGAAAATTATACATGGAAATTACACAGTGGAAAAGGGTATTTCTGTATTTTTTTATGTAATATTTTCAGGCACCAGACAGGTGACTCGGCAGCTGCTGATCCAGTGGATAATGGGGTCCCTACTGTACAATGGGATGATTACATGTACCTAAGTGGGTTACCACAGAGTTTTAAGGAAAGAGCTTGAGTAGCAGCAGACCTCAGAGGGAGGTAAAGGTAAAGGTAAAGGTTCCCCTTGACAATTTTTGTCCAGTCGTGTTCGACTCTCGTGCTCATCCCCGTTTCCAAGCCATAGAGCCAACGTTTTTGTCCAAAGACAATCTTCCGTGGTCACATAGCCAGTGCGACTTAAGACACAGAACGCTGTTACCTTCCCACCGAGGTGGTCCCTATTTATCTACTCGCATTTGCATGCTTTCGAACCGCTAGGTTGGCGGGAGCTGGGACAAGCGACGGGAGCTCACTCCATTGCGTGGATTCGATCTTACGACTGCTTGGTCTTCTGACCCTGCAGCACAGGCTTCTGCGGTTTAGCCCACAGCGCCACCACGTCCCTTTCCCCCAGAGGGAAGGGGAAATCAAATATTTACTAAAAGGGAGGCAAACACTTTAATACAATTATGCTTGAATTGTATCTGGCTTATAGGATGGAGAATATATTTCAGGAGTTGGCAAGATCACCAGTAATACCATGGCTGTTACTGAGCAGCAAAAGGCTTACACTATCCCAGAGCTGGCTTGAGAAAGGACTTGGAACCCTTCGGAGTTGACCATATCTTCTTCGCCATCGGCTCTCAGCCAGATCAAACTTGAGGAGTCACTAAGGTGAGGAAATAAAAAGCAACCCGAGGTGAGGACAGCGACAAGCTGGCAAAGATCACCGATTTACTCAAACTGTTCCTAACAAAGGCTGCATCTACATTAGCAATTTGATTCACAGCCCATATCAAGGCTGGATTCCCAGGAAGCAGTCCTACACAGGGGCTGCAGATGGAATCGGGAGTTCACCGAATGCGATGCAATTCTCCTCTTAGTCCACACTCTCCCTTTTTTACTTCCTTCCTCTGGTCCCGCCCCTGCCAGTTCTTTTATGGCTTGCTGTCAAGCTGCTTGGTTTTGAAAAGATTATACAAAGTTCCGGAAAAGGCGACCGTTTCCAAAATTCTTCTTAATCCCACAGGAACATCTTTTATTTCCTCTGAGTTGTTTGTTTTGTTCCTACTTTAAAAAAAAAAAACTCATCTAGAGGTGACCTAGTTTGGCTAAACTAGCATTTCAATACTAGTGATCAGAGATGGGTACGACAAACTGCTGGTTTGGCAGTTCGGTGTGGTTTGTTTCCCGGCCGAACAGCTGTTCCGCGGTTCGGAGTCCTGCAGCACGTGCTGGAGAGGGTGAAGGGGCTGGATCAGCGGTTCAGCTACGAAATGAAATGCATCGAACCACCAAACCAGTGGTCCGTGCCTATTTCTACTAGTGATAAGGCAATCAAGTGATCTAGCGCTAGATGTTTAAAATATAAAAACAAATCTGGAGCATGATCAGAGAAAACGAATGCCAGGGTGGGTGTTCCTGCAGTCCTGAACATCATGCCCCAGCTGCTTATGTCACCAAAACACCATGCACAGACTCATGTGCCCCCCCGCCCGTCTTTAAAAGAATGAATTAACTGATCACACAGGAAAAATCCACTCAAATCATGCTGGCTTGCAAAAAATCAGGTTTGGGGGGAAAAAACCCACAAAATGCTGGCCTTGAGTAAGCCATGCGTCCTATAGAGTTAATGTGGCATTCATTGCCCAGGGCAGTGGGGCCCTGCGGTTTCTGCTCACCTGCCATTCATGGTGTTATATAAATAGATCTCCTCTTTGGTGAAGTACTGGATGTTGTCCACTGAAAACGGTCCTCCGCCAATGATTGTGAAGATGTAGCTACCAATCACAACGAGGCATGAGAAGGTCAGTGTGCATCGTCTTTGGCCGCCTCCCACCCGCCACATCATGTGACTTCAAACCGCTGGAGCAAAACTTCTGCTTTTTAAAATATACATATGAAACAGTAAAACTCCATGTGGTAAGGCTTTAAAAGGGGGGGGGCTTATGAAGAAGGAACACGGAATTGATTGAGAAGGTACATTCAGAAATAAGTTCCTCTTTCTACTAGCTTTGGAGCCGTGGCTAAGCCAGTGGCCTTGCCACTGATCCCTTAAAGTCAGGGCAGGCAACTGCCAGTGGTCCGTCCGTGGGCTGTAGAAAACCTCACTTTTGAGCCAGAAATGCCCAAATTGTGCCATCAAGCCAATGTGGCAAGATAAAAGCCCTTGAAAGATTAACATTAACTGTCATCTTGGCAGTTCTTGGGTCCTTTTAAGGAGAAAGGCGGGGTAAAAATATTTTAAATACTGTAAATATATACAGGGGTGCCCCGCATAACGAGCGATTCGTTTAACAACGAATCCGCATAGCGATGTGGTTTTTGCGATCGTTTTTGCAATTGCATTGCGATGTTTTAGATAGCAAAACATCGCTTTGCGATGATCGGTAAGCGTTTCGCTTACCGATTTTCGTATTGTGATGTTTTAAAAACAGCTGATCGGCGGTTCCAAAGTGGCCGCCAGGTAAATAAAATGGCCGCCCACAGTGTTTTCGCGCCCTTTCCTCGCTTACCGGGCAGCGAAAATGGCGACCGCATGGAGGATTTTCGCAGAATGGTGAGGTTTTTTCCCCATAGGAACGCATTAAACGTGTTTTAATGCGTCCCTATGGGCTTTTTTGCCCCGCATAGCGACGAATCCGTATAGCGATGATTTTTTCGGAACGGATTATCGTCGCTATGCGGGGCACCACTGTAATTCCGATCAGTGATTTCCAATAGGTTTTTGTTTGCTTTCTTCTGCGTTTGGTTTGGGACGGATGGATACATGCAAAAAAAAAGAGTCTTATCTACCTTTTAATTTCAGAAAAGAAAACTTAGAAACCTTCCTCTCTTCTAGTGTGTGTCCAGTCAACCACATGGATCTCTTCCATAGATTATTATGGGGTGGTTATGGTGGTTCAGCCTCACTTCCTCAGGCTGTTCTCCAGCCTGGCTTCAAAGCCCAGCTGGGCCGCCTTCTTAGGATGAAGAAGCCTGGCTTGGACCTAAGCGCACCCCCCCTCCTATCTTATCTCCCAGATCCCTGGGCAAAGCGCAAGGCGAGAACCCATTGATTCCAAATCAGCTTTGCTCCAAGGTCAGAAAATGCTCCCCTCCACCTTACCTCCCATTGAAACGCCCCGAGTCTCCGGTCACCATGTCTTGGATCAAAAAGAAGGGGTAAAACACTGCAAACGAAGCAAGCACAAGAAGGGTCAGAAGGAAGCATAAACCCCTGTCCATGCTAGCCGCAGGGCAGGGTGACGGAAGGCAGGCATCTTCCTTTGGCTTCATACCGTTCTAATCACTCAGGACAGAAAGCAGCTTCAGGAGCGGCCAGGGGGCCAAGCAGGACACGTGGGCACCTCTGTCGTGGGGATAAAGGTTCCTGGGATATGCCCAGGAAACAGAGCCCTGCAGAGTGATAACCCTTCATGTTTCCTGGATTCCTGAACACAAGCCAAGGCAAAACTAGGTGATATTAATTATAGCTGTGCAGGCTTCTCCCTTTTCCTAAGCGAGAAGTAATACAAGAATCATTTTCTGGCAATTACAAAGATGGTGGCAGGGGGAGGATTAAAGCGCTCCACACCCTCACGCCATGGTCCTGGGGTGCATCAGCCCCCTGTAATGACTCCAGCATAAGAAGGATTTCCTCCCAGTGTTACAAAAGACTTCCATGCCCTATGGAGGATCAGAAGCAGACACTGTGGCTATTAAGCACCCATCACCAAACCTAATACATTGGAAACAGAAACAAACAAAGTTCTGTCAACGGGAAGCTTTTAAATAAAGGCACAGGAGCTCTGAAACGTCTTAACAGCACTTTGGCTTCCAGTTAAATAAATCCACAATGTATCTAACTGCCTTTTCCTCCAAAAGCGACGAATCAATTTAAAGAAAGGGGGTAGAGGAAACATGTAACACACGGATGATTTAACAAAAACATGATCTGGATGCCCCATCAAAAATGAGGGAAAGAAAAAGGGGGCAGTTCCAGAAAGAGGTAAGAGTGCAGCAAACCAGAAGATGTTCAGACTGAAACTGCTCTCACCCCTTCCCTTCCTTTCCTCATGTTCTCGCTGTCCTCATTTAAGTGGCAAATGCCTTGAGGGCAGGGGTTTGGGATTTCAACAGCAACAGGCTATGATCAACCCCGCGGCTTCTGGCTTCCAAATGAATTTCTTACTAAAATCCAGCACCTCCCAGCTCTCCCCTCCCACCCGATACCTACCGTCGCTGAAGTAGAAGCAGGGCATCTCAGGGTCTGGTATGACACAATCAAAGTACCGCTTGTTCTTCTCTTCGGTGTAGTTCTTGGTGTAGGTGATGTCAAAGGCCAGCCTCTTGCCTGGGGGGCATCCGATGCTGATGCCGACCACGGCAGTGCCCTGCGGGTAGGACAGAGTCGGGCCTCTGGTTTTAGAGGAGGATGGCGCTGCCCACGGGCCACCTGTGGCCTGCTAGACCTTCTTCCTGACTGTCCCCAACTCCCTCCCCACCCGGAATAAAAACACCCAGTGTTTTTCAGACTTCACGGACGACATTCCACACATCTATCTGTCTGCTACTAAATGGGGTTTCCATAACCATTCAGACCAATGGGTCCTTTCGAGAAGAAAGGCGGGGCAAAATATTTTAAAATAAATAAATAACTTAAGATCTATTCCCCGTCATGACTGTTGGCAACCCTTTGGGAATTTTCTGTGGGTTTCACCCCTTTTGGGTTTGGGGAGTTTGAAAAAACAGAAAGAAAAGAGGCACCAAAGAGAAGTTGCCTCTAAGCGACCATCCGAGATGGAGGCTACAAAGGCTGATGAGCGGAAGCGAAGGAGAGAAGGGTAGGAAAGCAACAGGGTCAACAGGACGCCGGGAGAAGCGAAAGAGGAAGGCAGAGTGGTCTTTATTTGTCCCTTTTTAATATTGGTAGACTTGCTGTTTGTAACTTTAAATACAGTCGTGCTCCGCTTTACGATTACCCAGTTTAACGACGAATTGGCTTCACGACGATGTTTTAAACGTTGGTTTGAATAGTGGTTTTCTGCTTTGCGATGATCAGTTCCCTGCTTCAGGAACCGATTTTCGCTTTACGACGATCAAAAACAGCTGATTGTCGGGTTTCAAAATGGCCACCGGCTGAAGAAAATGCCCCCCCCCTGCTGTGCTTAGGGACGGATTCCTCGCTGCACAGGCATGGAAAATGGCCACCCCTATGGAGGATCTTCACTGGATGGTGAGTTTTCAGCCCACTGGAACGCACTGAACAGTTTTCAATGCATTTCAATGGGCTTTTTTATTTCGCTTTACGACGTTTTCGCTCTACAGCGATTTTGCTGGAACGAATTAACGTCATCCAGCGAGGCACCACTGTATGGTCTTTTAATGATGTAAGCCGCCTTGGGTGCTCTTTAAGGAAGAAGGTGGAGCAATAAGCGAACAAATAAATAAATAAGCAAGGAAGGAAGCCAGCCAAAGGAGGAGGGATGAGTTCACCTTTATCTCAGGTGAATGGGCTGTGTAGCCGTAGCAGTTCATTCCTGAATGAGCCACCTGGGAAAGACAAAAATGGCCGGAATGAGTGGCAAGGTAAGGGCCAGAGTGGCCCTTTCAAAGAGCAGCTGGTGGGCCATCTCCCCCACCACCACCACCCTTAGGAGCAAGGCAGCTGCAGGCCACCAAGGGAGCCTCGGCGCTGCCGGCAACAGAGACGCCTTTTCTTACCTTTAAGCTTGCAGAGCTTTTCAGGAGGTTCTTCCCGCTGAGCTGTTGCCTCGGGTATATGCCGTTGTCCCCGATGGTCACCTGTCATTGTGGCGGGACGAAACGGAAAGGGGTTTAAAATGAACGCCATGTTCCTCCCGCAAGTTTAAAAACTCTTCTCCGTGCTGGCTTCTTCCAGATGTGTAAGCTCTCTGAGCGGCAGGATAGATGGCCAAAACATCTGGAAACCCACCCAGCCTCCCCGCTCTTCTCATCATCATGTGCTGTCGAATCAATTCTGAGTTACAGCAAAACTTTTTCAGGGCTTTCCAGGTGGAGAATACTCAGAAGTGGTTTCCTGTTCCAGGGGGAGCCCTGGGACCGTGTGCAGCTGGCCCAAGGCTACCCAGGCTGGCTCTTCTCAGTGTCGGCACAGCGGGGAATCGAACTCCCAACCTCTGGCTCCACAATCAGATACTCAAACCACTGAGCTACCCTAGACAATAATGGATGTGGCTCATCTCCATATTTTTACTTCATCGCAGGCATGACATCCAGCGCTCTTAAAAAAAACCCATCATATATTGTTGCCAACACTCCAGGATTTCACTGGCCAATCCAGAATTGGGGCCGGTGAATTTTGCTAAGCCATTTGTCATGAGAACAAGATGAGGAAGAAGACTGGGTTCTTCTTTTCAGCCACAGACTTTATCCAAAAATTCCTCAACAAGATATGACACCCTATGCATGCAGGATTTTCTCTGGGCAAATCGACTGCCAGGGTTTAAATTTGCACACGTGTATGTAATGTGTCGCTCAGCTCTGCGCAACAGAAGATTCCCCCCAAGCAGGAAAAGTTAACAGTCCTTTGAGAAGGAAGAATATTTTTTACCACTCTTTTTGGTTCACATTCTTTCAGTCTGCAGAAAGATAACTCTCTACACATTCAGAGAGGTTCTGCTCCAGGATTCCAACAACGCGTATATTAAAGTTTGCAAACATGACTCCCGATGTGTTTCGGCATCAGAAGGAGGCAAAGGATTTTTCACATTTCTGAATGCCCATCAGCAGGATATTGCTGCACTCTTGACTTGAGCGCTTCACTGCATCGGCTTGAAATTTAGCAGCCCTTACCCGGTACAGCACAGAGCCTCTGCTGATAAGTTCATTCCTCTGGAGATTGATGTGGATATATTCGGGATGGGCTAAAATGACTGTCAGCCACATGTAGTGGAGGGAATTTTCTTCCGCTGTTTCTCCCACTGCAGGGAAAAGAGAAGGATCGCGTTGGTGTGCACTGTTAAGGGTCATGTCATTTCAGAAAAGTTATCACAGTTTTAGAAGGGGGCAGTTAGAACTAGCAAAGGGCTGGGTGCCCTCCCCCCATCCGGCAGGCCTCAACGTTGGACTGTGTTTTTAAGTTATTCCGATAGTTATCTGAATGCCCAGATCCATGCAACATCACAGACTTCGCGTGCAAGTAAACGGTCTTAGTGTCCTCGTTTACAAGGTTTCACAGTAAATGTCAGGGAGATGAAGTTATTATAAATGTGAGCACAAAAATGCCTCTGTTCGTGTGTCGGTAACTAACATGTTGCCACAATTATGTATCTTGGCACAAATTAGGGACAAATAAGCAATGTCTCACTTGCCAGAATGTTCAAATTACTGTACTATATTTAGTTATGTACTTTAAAAATTTTTTCTAACATATTTGTAGGACATATACACCTGCTTTTATGATGTGTTATTGTTTTATAATTTTATTCTAATTTATGTTTGGTTTCAATTGCTCTTAGCTGCCCTGACCAGCATGTAAATATGAAAAAGGGAGAAATTATGAACGCATTTTTATAAAAACTTTATCTCACTGATATGTGTCTTCTTTGGCAGCTTACAGACTCTAATAAAAATGGAAATCGACTAATTCTCAGTTAATTGACAAACAGTTCCTTTGGACCAACCAATTAGCAAGGATGTGGTTTTGGTGAGGAAATATTTAAACAACAAATTGACTCAATGTCATATTTAGATGAAATACACTGGCTGAAATTCAGTAGTGAGTCAACTTTCCCTGTACACTTAATAGACCTACTTTAGATGCAAGTTATAACTGGATCTCTGGTAATATCCCAGTATTTCTTACTACTTGAAGACAGATCAAGGTTATTCATATTCTGAGCTGGGGGTAGGTTAACATGCAGTCCACTTGTTGAAACTGGTGCCCCCAACTATTGCTGTGAGCCGGCCTCCCCCCAAGTTATTTCTGCAACTGTATTTGCCGCAGTAGCATCAGCCGAAAGGCCATGTTTTCCTTTCAACTCACTGCCCCACCACCAAAATTCAGTCATGGGGCAAAGAACCCCTTTCCATTGAAAGCCAGGTGCACGAAGAACGCTGAGCTTGTTCTGAAGCCTAGTGGGTGGCTGCAGGGGGCCCATGTGTTTCTCTCCACTTCCCCAGCCATGCTGCCCCCGGAGAAAACGACTTTTCCTAATGCCAGCCAGGGAACTGACGGGCACTTAGCCACGGCTGTTTTGCAAAAGGGAGACTCTGTGCAATAGACGAGGTGTGCAAATCTCCTGCTCATCTGCCCCCCACCTCCACCCCAGTGCCCTTGCGTGTCAATTAAACGCTCCGCCTCTCCCCCTTCAGGGCAACGGCACCTGCCCTCTCCGCGGCTTACTGCTCTGTTTAGTTGTCCTGATGCTCAGGTAAACGGAGAAGGTGTACTCGGTCTTCTTGTCCAGGTAGATCATGCCCGGCAGCAAATTGTTGGGGATGAGGTTGTAGATTTTGGCGTAGTTGGCCATGTCAACGTAGATGCCTCCCGAGGACTTCCAGTTGCTCGCCATATAGTAGTAGTACTCCTGGAAAAGGATTGAAAGAAAGGAATGTCGCCTGTCCTAGCCCGGTAGTTTCAGGGTATGTTGTGGGTTTTTCTCCCTTTTTTAAAAGTTTTTTTGGGGGGGAGAGGAAAGCCACTCCCAAAAGATAAGGAGCATAAGAACCTAAGAAGGGCCCCTCTAGTCCAGCTCCCTGTATCTCACTGTGGGCCTCTGGGAGCACACGAGACCACGAGAGAGCTGTCTCCTGATCCCCCTCCCCTGCCTCTGGCATCTTGAGCAGAGCCATGCCAGGAATTCCACTTTCACAGAATCTCAATTTTCTAGTGAGAACATCTGTCATCTCTGCCGATTTTGCAAACGAAACCTGCAGCGCAGAGGCTGCTCAGCTGGGACTGGCCACATTTCAAGGTGCTTCCAGAGTTCCCTTTGGAGACCGCACTGTCTCAGGATAATACCCCATTTGCCGAATTCTGCATGGGATCTAGCAGGCCCTCTGCCTTCCTTTCGAAGCATCCCTGTGCAGCCTGCCCAGAACAGCAAGGGGGGGGGAGACAGAAAGGGGGGAAAGACAGAGGAGCCACACGGCACCTTTCAACCATTTAGAGACCCTCCATCTAGAAGCACCCTGAGACTCTATAAGGAAGGAAAGAGGAGAAGCTCTCTCTGCCTGGACTCCTTCAGCCCCACTCCTTCCCTGCTCCCCTTGCCATGCATCAAAAGGACCCCAAACAGGAGATTTACGAAAGGAAACAAGGAGTGATTCCCCGTCTCTTTTCCCTCCAGAGAAGCGCTCCGCTCTGTATCATGTGGATCCCTCCATCGTACCACACGGAGAGTTCCTTTGACGAAAGAAAGTACCCCAAATGGCTCTTCACTCAGAGTTAGGGGCAGTTCTTTCTAGAGAAGGATTCTTACAATCCTTTTTCTTACCGCATCTTTTTTCTTGTTCTTCCACCAGCGCCAGGTGGGGTCATGGACTGGGTCAGCGTAGGACTGACAACAGAAAAAGACTCGGTTACGTCTTGGGAGGCAGAGGGAGAAACCAACCCCCACCAACCCCTCCGGAGAGAGAGAGAGAGAGGTGTTTAAAATAACTAAGAAGGCTAGTGTGATGGAGAAGGGAAGGAAATCTTTTTCGGCAGAAAGGTGCATTCCCCAGCAATGTCCAAGTTGGGTGAGGAGCGGTGGTTGAGGCATCTGGCTGGGGAGCTAGAGGTTGTGAGTTCGATTCCCCACAGGGCCTCCTTGACAGGGGCTAGACTTGATGATCCCTGGGGGGTCCCTTCCAGCTCCACAGCTCTAAAATGCAATGAACAACCCTATACGGAGAGGCACCCTCCCTGATCTTTCTCCCACCCACCCTGCCATTCTCTCTGTCCAAAGGTGGGGCAACCAGCAGGGGACACCTCTCTCTGGCCCACGGAGACCTGGCCTGCCTTCTTACGAACGGCTTCTGAATTTACGGCTAAGCTACATCGGTATCTAGAGCCGCAGGCTTGTCTCCTGCTGGTTATAGGGAAGGACGTGGCGTTCTCACCCTGTGGTAGGCAGAGTGCAACTGGAGCAGCTGGTAAACCAATCCCTGGTACACCATCAGCGACCTGTCATCGTGGAAGCCCGTCTTCTCCATGATCTCCGGCGGCCGGGCCCGGTAATGCTCCATCCGGGTGAAGCGCTGGGGCAGGGGCAAGTCCACCAAGCGGAGAACGGCAAAGGGGCAGCGGTGGGTGAATCGGATGTAGTTGAGCCCACTGGGGAGGAAGGGAAGAAGGGAGAGGCTAAGCACACCCCCAGCCAGCCCTGCAGTCTTTGCCAAAGGGAATTATCTACTCGTATCACCTGACCTAGCCAGGAGGGGCAAATGAGCTCCCTAAAGCCGAGGGAGGCCTGGAAAGAAAAAACAAGACGCTGGGCCTTCTTGGAAGTGGCTCCCAGTCTCTGGAACAAGCTTTCCCTCCCCCCCCCCGAGATTCGTCTGGCCCCCTTGCTGGGCATTTTCAAAAACCAAATGAAGACCTGGTTATATAGACAGGCCTTCCCTCCGGGCACTACATAACTTCCTCTTTTTCTCTATCTCTATCTACTTTGTTCTGTGCAACTGCTGTAAATTGTTATTTGATATTAATTGTTTTTATTCTGCGTTTTGTGACACATGCACTCACTTGTATGTCATCTCTTTGTGAGGCGTGTTGATCAACTGGTCATAGGTCAAGACATGATCCAAAGGGAAATTCCTTTTAATGATTCTTCCAGTGGTTCTGGAATCCTCCCTGTAAACAAGCTGAAAGAAAAGGAGTCCAGATCAATAAGCTTGAAGCGGGGAGCTATGAGGTTCCCAAAACACCGACCTTAATCACATCCTCTTCCGGTACTATTTCACGGAGTGACCTTTTGTCATGTTTAGTCACACCAGACCATGGGAGTTAGCAAGCTTCTCCAAGAGAAAAACCTGCTTTTAACCACAAACTGCAAAATGGGACCCGTTTTAAACAGCTATTTCCAAATAGCCCACTGGCTCGCTGGCTGGCTAGCTAAGATGATAAACAGGAACCTATCTATCTATCTATCTATCTATCTATCTATCTATCTATCTATCTATGTATCTGTCTGTCTGTCTGTCTGTCTGTCTGTCCGTCCGTCCGTCCGTCTGTCTCGCTCTCTCTCGCTCTCGCTCATCTATCTATCTATCTATCTATCTATCAGATAATAATGGAAAAAGCAAATCATATAGAATTTGAAACAATAAATATAATCCAGGTATGGGACATGGGACCAAAACTGGCACAGGGCTCGTCTCCGAAATAAGCAGAACCGGGCAGTAGGTGGCTTAAGTAAGGCTGTTAGGAAGGCACAGGAAATTCCTGCCAGAAATTTAAGCCCTAGAACCCGGCAGGACCAAACGCTGCACGGGCGCAGAACCCCCATGGATGAGGCACAGAGACCACAAAGAAGAACACGGCAATCCAAGCTTTTCTTTCAAATCAAGAGTTCTTGAAGTGGCCTGCAGAAGCGGCTTGTGTCCACGATGGATGATGAGATGGAAGGCAGGGCCCAGAGCAAGGAATGGAGGTTTGGACCCTGACAGGCAGAGTCAAGAGTTCCCCCGTGTGCGGCGCACAGAGAGGCAGGCAGGTATTCACAGATTCAACAAGACAGCCTTGAAGCAGGAAAAAAAAACATGGAGTTTGCGGAGAGGAGGTGCGGCGGAGGCCAGCAGAGGCAAACCCCCTCTGCTTCAAGGAAGGAGGGTTGGCTACAGGTGGGAGCCGTGCCCTCTGCCTGCCCTGGTGGACCAGCCACACTTCCCCGGGCTGGGCGGCTCCTTAGGGCACCAGCTGCCTCGGACCAGTTGCCAGGCCGGCCCCACCGCAGCCAAAGGCACCCACCTCTTGCATCCCGTCTCGGTCAAAGAAAATGGTGATGATGGAATGGTTGTCGTCCAAGTCGTAATCCTTGGAGCCCCTCATCACCTGCAAGGTGTTGTAGAGGGACCAGGCTTGGGACGGGTAGACCTGCTTGACCTCAGTGCTGATCTCCTTGGCCACCCAGACCTAGGAAATAAATAAAAGAAATTAAATGTCTCACATGACCAGGATGCTCAGATTTCCAAAACCAGAGGGCACGGGACCCAGACCTACCTCATCCGTATCCGTCACAAAGGCAATGTTCCCGGTGAAGGACAGCACAAAATATTTGATGGGGACTTTGCTGGGGAAGTTTGAGAGGTATATGTAACTCATCATGTCGTTGCTGTTTAAAAAAAAAGCAAAGGGGGGGAAGGCTTTCCTTGTAATTGCTGTCACTTATTCAATCTTTCCCCGTTCTTCCCACTGTACACTCCACTTATGGATGCAAAAGAAACCCTAAAAGAGGTGGTCCAGCAGAATCTTCAACTCCCAGCCTTCTACCTTCAAACTGGCAAAAAAAATTGGCAGTAAGTTTGCAGAAAGGAAAGGGTGCTGCTTATGTACCACCTCAAAGCTCTTAAAGCACTCTCTGGGCAGCTTAATTGTGCAGGCTACACATCGTTGCCCATGCCCACTCCCCAGTGAGCCGGGCACTCAGTTTACCAACGTGGGAAGGAGGCAAGGCTGAGTCAGCTACTTGAGCTCATCACGTCCTTAGCAGAGCCTGGACTCCAGTTTAACCACTGTGCCACAAGACTCAAGAGTTAGCACACTGGGAGACAGGGGCAGCTGTAGGCAAGTAAAAACATACATCCATGCACAACATTGGGACTGGGTCCCCAGTAAAGAAGACTGGCCCCTGTTCGGATGCGGCGAGGTTGGACTCCAGGGCGCTGCTACTGTCTGACCCTCAAAGAGGCTCCAACACAACTATGTCAGTCACAGGACTCACACTGGGACTGACAATAGCCCCATTTCCTGGGAGTGTGGCTTGATCCAAGATGAGTCATAAAAGCAGTACAGCCACTATAAAGGTAGGTGGTTAAAACAAGGGAGGCAACCCATATAGGTTGCCAGCTTCGCAATTTATAGGTGATGAAACCTCACCCCTCCAGACACCCGTTTCCTCAAAGCTCCTTCCGAAACCATGTTCAAACCAGCAGATTTTTAGCAGGGAATCTTGCCTTTTTAAGATGACATTCCCCCAGACGTAGAAGATCTTGCTGTAAGGGTTGAATGCCAAGCCTCGCGGGAGGAGATTCTTGTCTGTATACTGCTCCATTCCCAGCAGCATCACAAATCCTTTATCAGAGGCTGCAAAGGAAAAAGAATGTCAGGCCATCACAAGAGGCCGACCATTAGAACGGAGCCATTCATTCATTCATTCATCCATCCATCCATCCATCCATCCATCCATCCATCCATCCATCCATCCATCCATCCATTCATTCATTTGTTCAATTTATATAGCGCTCCCAATTGATGCCGAAACACTACTCCAGGCTGTTTACAATACAGTATTTTTTTAATCACCATTAAAAACAGATGGCGAAAACCAACCATACAGAAACCCAGCGGAAGAAAAGGGAAAAAAATACTAGGGTCAGTGCAGAAAGCCTCCCTGAAGAACCACGTCTTTAGTTGCCTTCTAAATATCAATGGGAGGAGGGCAGGCAGAGCACCTCCACAAGCTGTTTCCACAAGGTTGGAGCCACCACAAAGAAGGCCCTACCATCACGGTTTATATATCCATGCCTATTTGCCTAACACGGTGTAATTTGTTTGCTCACATGCATCAAAAGGATGGGGAAAATAGGAAGCTGCTTCTGAATTTGCCGCAACACACTTTTACCAAGGGGAGGAAGAACATGTTGCATAGATATGCATTGCTCTTTAATTATCCTCTTGTGCCCTCACTCAACGCTTCATACTTGCCCCTTTTGAGGCACATGGACAAACAAAGCAGGGGCTACCTTAATAAGTTTGGAGCCCTTGCACGGAGGGGGTTCCCTGAGTCGAGGAACGCAGAACCAACAGAGGCTGGGTTCTTACCCTTGGGAACAAACTGAGGGATGTCGTAAATCTGCTGAAAATATTCTTCCCCTGCACAATGAACAAAGAAAACAGCCAAGGGTTAGAAGGTGAAAGTGTTAGAATTAGAAAGTGTGAGAACGCTATTCGTGCTATTCGGTAGCTCCGAGAGCTCTCACCAGTTGTATTTATAGTAACCCGTTCTCACCCAACCACATTTTTCACATGTTCAAGCTCTCTCAAGAGGGCTACAGCGCACTCCCGAAGGCTGGTCCCCACGCCCTGGGGAATATGGGGCCACACTTCAGTCCCACAGATCGGGGGCGAGCGCTCGAGTTGGTAAAACACTCCTGATGCCAGGGATTGAACCCAGAGCCTCCAGCATGCAGGTTACGCCACTGAACCAAAGGCCCTTCGCCCCTGAGGTACAGATCCATCTCTGGGTCAGGGAAGTGGACTCAAGCCACAGGACTTGTTGTGAAGCTGGACTTCAGCAGCATTGGTGACTTGTGACTCGGAAGCCACCCGTCTCCTCCCTGTTTTTAATAGGGACTCTGGACTTGCTACCAAGGACTCAGTCTCAGAGTTGGGACTCAAACCCAAAGACTGGCCAACGTCCTTGCTGTGGGTCCATCTATGGGGAGGCAGGCCTTGTTTTCCCCATCACCGTCTGCGGCAATTCCACCCAATGAGGGTGCCCCACCATGGATGCCTCTGAATCTGCTTTGCTTTCTCTTCTCTCCCCCTTCTGCCGCATGCCTATGAGAGGGTCATCCATCTTCTTGGTGGATCTCTCTAAGAACACTCTTCTCGTGCGGCATCTGGTTAAATTTCAAACAGGGATTACGTTGATGAAAATAATGCTCTGGAGGGCCAGCCTAACCTCGATAGTAGGCCACGATGAAGTGAGGTCCTGTGTCTTTCTCGGACACCAGCAAATAGAACATGTTCTCCTCTGTCGAAAAGACCGCCCACACGATGGAGCACTGCCTAACTGAAAGAGAGGAGACACTCGCATTCAAGATCTGGAAAGACAGTCAGAGTGGGGAGCTAAGATGTGTCCACACACGCCTCAAAATGCACCACACCCTACAGAACTGCATACTCTTTAACGTTTTAGGGTGGTTGTTTTTTTAATTTAAAAGAGGCCGGCCAAGATCCTGTTGAGCAGCTCTATATACATAACGGTGACGATGTCAGCAGCAGCAAAACAATGCCAATCAAAGACCATTTGGGGGTTCGCACGACTTGTCCATAATGCAATGACGCCACGGGCAGCCCAACATTGCCAAAGGGGCCTTTAAACGTTGGTGATTTGCCACTGTTGCCGAAGTCCTTGCCACGGCGTACGTGGAGCTGCGCCACAGGATTTCGGCCACCATGACTTTAAACATGTATAGAATAGGATGGGGAGGGATTGTTCCTTGTGATATGAAAAGGAATGACTGATCTGTTTCAGGTGGTCTCTGAACTTTGTAAAGAAAGTGGGAGAAGGTTGGAAGAGGGGAGTTTCACTTTTTTCTTCGTTGTTGTGTTATCAGCCATGCTGGGGATGAGGAAGAAGAATGGGAGATATTTATTTTGCAAAAATTCAAAAAGGGAAAAAAAAATTGAAATTCTTTACTACGAAGGCTGAAAGTCCTGGAGAAATTATGAAACTAGGAGCAGCTGTTTTATTGTGAACAACAGCCTCCTGCCATTGTTCTGGTTTTGTGTCATTTAGCGTCCATGGGAGGGGACAAGGAGATCTGCACGGAGAATGGAACACCCTCACCCTGACCACCACAAACCATGTTTAATAACACCTCTGGCTTCTAAGAACTCCACAAGCATTCCCCTGTGCACTTGTAGGCCTTTCGCCCTAGCTATAATGACTAGAACATGTGACAAACCCAGACCTACTGGCGTGCACTTGTAGGCCTTTCGCCCTTGCTATAATGACTAGAATCCTTCTTGTTTTATATGAAAACAGAGATGAGTTCTGTATGAAATTTCACATTCTGTATGCTTTCTGTGTTTTCTGGCATAACTATGGCCTAACTCAGAGCCCTCCTATGATACATCGTTTAACAGCTGCTCTAGTGCCCCTAGAGTGGTCTCCGTCCAAAATCCACAGAAATGCGAGTTAAACTAAAAACTGTTTTGAAAGAAAGTTGGTAAGTTAGTGAGCAAAATCCTGTTGCGTAACTCAGTTCAGGCACTGGAAACGTTCAAGTTACACTAAGTGAATGCTTCCTACCCTCCCATTTTTAGTTCCGAGGCTCCATTGGGTCCCTTTTTTTGCCCTAGGAAGCCTTGTGAGAGGGGGACATTTTGAAGTCAAAAACGGCCTCCAGATTGCCACCACCAGGATTGGGATCACTGCCGCCCATCCGACAGGGACGTTTGGCTTTTGAAGGCTGCTCCGCCATCCCAAGGCTCCCAAAGGCTTCCCAGGGCAAAAAGGAGCCTAAGGGAGCCTCGGAATGAAAACAAAAACAAACAAACAAAAAAAGGGGGACCGTTTCAGTTCACCTCAACGGAACATTTCTGCTGCCCAAACCTAGTTGCGCCGAGTACAATACTACACAACAGGATTTTGCCCCCTTGTGTCCCAGAACTTGAAGGTGTAATCGGTCGCTGGAGTAAATAAGGCCTAACTGGTTAGATTAGCACTTGAGCTTCTGTAACATGGGAGTATGATAAGAAACCACAAATAACCGTATTCAGTTGAAACCCTTCCCAGAACTGAGCAGCATGGGGCTCCCGAGGAGGTGAGCGGAGAAGCAGGGGACAAAAACTGAAAAAAGACCTACATCTCATGAAGTCGCACACGTTCCTCTTCTTAGACCTCAAACTCCCGGAGGCCTTCACAATTCCATCTAGAAAGCAAGAAAAACAATGTGTAAGCCTACATTTGTACGCCTGATCCTTCCTTCCTCTTCCGTAATGGGTGAGGCCAGCGGACGTACATCCTGCATATGGTCTCAACCCTGGGGTTTTATGCATTTATTTGTTTACCTTGAGCGTTATCTATGCTACAGAGCACATGGATCCCACTTGAACTGCCCTGGCGCCATACGATGAGCTCCCTGGAATTGCCATTCGGTGAAAGAGTTCGACTTCTTTGCTCTAAGGAGTAATCTAGGGGGAAACCCTAAAGGCTTTTCTGTGTGTTGTGTGTTCTCAAGTCGAGACCGACTTCTAGCGACCCTAACAGAGTCTTCAAGGTAAGTTAGATATTCGAGGATTTACCACTTCCCTTCCCGCAATCACTTTCCATGGCCAAACCTGGAATTTGAACCCTGATCTCCAGGGCCCGAGTCCCTCCCTCCATTACACCACACTGGGAATCCCAACGTCTCTGACTAAACCGCCAGTCTCAGGATTGGGTGGGATCCCACCAAGGGCAGCTAAAGGGACGTCAAACGGCTCCACCTCTGCAGCACAGATACACTGTTTATCCGACTGCTAAATTTATTTTGGCAAGGCACAAAGCAGAAAGACATGCAAATATGTCAGGCATAACCCACATAAGAACAGAAAAAAGACAAAAAACCTGAAGATCAAATTCTATATTTTATTGTGAGCTTTCATGAACAAGTCCACTTCTACAGACATATGAGGTAAAACCATGTTAATCCATATATATGAAGAAGCAGGCTTACCCCTAAAAAAGCTCAAATTAAAATATAAATTAAAATACAAATTTAAAAAAATGTGTTAAAAAAAAAAGAAGAGAAAACACTGGACTTCACTGCATGGCAGACTTTTCGGGCATGCAGTTCTGAAGTACTTGCATGCCTGGAGGGAAAATGTGAGAGCAGGAAATACACATTTCCCCTAATGTGTGATTGGACCCTACAAGGTTTCACCCATTCTCTCCTGCCATGGCCTGAGAGAAATTACCTTTTACAGTAATAAGGAAGAGTTCGCCTTCCTGCCAGCCGCCACCGAGAGCAATCACAAACTCTGTGTTGTTCTTAGGGAAAAACACTGGATTTAACCGTCTCACACAGACGTTGTTCAAAATGCGCGTCCATAGTTCTAAAAAAAAAAAGAGCAGAGAAAGAAGGTTGCAACCAAGGTGTCAGGGAGAAAAAGAGATGCACTCTCTCCTCTACGTTTAGCTGACCTGCACCCAACCTGAATTTAGCAAACAGGTTACAAGTAAAAGCTTTGGAACGGCTCTAGATTTAACAGTTTTTAAAGCAAGGCAAAAAGAAGGAGGGGACGCGGGAATAAGACAAGGCTATAAAATTGCAACACACACTCGGGCCTTTCTGAGATGCATGAAGGCCTCTTCATGAAGACATCTTGGCCACAACTACGGTCCTTTCTATGCAACACACAGCTATGGAAAAGGGCTAACTGTGTTCAGTCTACAACATCCTGCCACATTCATGGCGACCTTCTTCTGTACGCTGGGGAGACGGCCCAGGATACTGGCAGGTCTTGGGGTCCAAGTCTTTGGTATCAAAGCAAAGCGTGCTGCTTAAATACTGCCCCATAGTGCTTCAAGCCCTCTCTGGTGGTTTACAAGTTAACCACATTGTCCCCCCACCCCAGCAAGCTGGGTACTCATTTTATGGACCTCGGAAGGATAGAAGGTTGAGTCAACCTTGAGCCGGCTACCTGGGATTGAACCCCAGGTTGTGGGCACAGTTTTGGCTGCAGGACAGTACAACAGTTCAACCACAGCGCCACGAGGCTCTATCAAGTCCCAAGCTCCAGGTCTGAGTCCCTATGAAAAACAAGCTTCCTCTCCCCTAGAAAAGAGGGAAGGGGTGGGCGGGTTCTGAACTGCAAGTCAAGTCTCGCTTGAGGGCAAGTCCTGTGACTCAACTCCCCATCCCTGGAGAGGACGACAATCAACATGCCTTGATCATCATCCCCTCCGGCGGAAGAATCTAAGGAGTTGGGCTTTCTCCCTGGAGACCAAGGGTCTCCCGCCTCGGAGGGGAGATTCTTCAGCCTGCGCCAAACTACTGAGTCTTTGAAGGAAGCCACAGCAGTTCAACAAGCATAAGCTCCATGGCATACAGCATGGATGTGCCTTCTGCCGTTTCAGGCTCACCTACCCGAGCCGGAGGTATTCACGTGCAAGACCGGGTAGTGCCCTGTGAAGTAATAGACCAGCTGGTTCTGTCGGATGAAGAGGGTGCTCTCTGTGGCTATGGTGTCCACGATGGAGGAAGAGAAGCCCTTCTGCGGGCAGGAGATGGAGCCAATCCAGCAGCTGTCGATGCTCAGCTGAAGTAGGAAAGGAGGCAACAAGAGGGAAGCTGCTTTGCCTTATGGGTCATGACGGGGGACATTCTGCAGTTGAGAGCAACCGAAAGGATTCCTCGGTCATGTTTCACTACCATCCCCCAGGTGGCGGGGTGAAGCAAATGGCAGCTCTTGTGAAGGTGTAGAACTACAACTCCCATGATGTCTGGTCACCGGCTACTTTGGCTGGAGCGAGGGTCTGGAAATTGCCACTACTCCCCCCCCGTTTACTGAACTGCAGTTCCCAAGATTTCTTGAAAAAGAAAGCTGTTTGAAATCGTATGAGCTCGGCCTCCTTAAGAGCACATAAAAATTTGTTTAATGGGCAAGAATGATACACATCATCTTCATTTAAATCTCGCCCAGTTTCTGTGTAGAACGCTCAGGGCTCCGCCTGCAGTTCCCCTTCTAGCGGGAGGCCTGGGGGACTGAAACTCCAACTCCCTGTCTGCAAAACCTGGACAGTAGGACCCCCATATCTGTGGGGGATTGGTTTCAAGCCTCCCTTGTGGATGCTGAAAATTATAGATAATATAGTGAATGCTGTACACAGCATGAAAAAAGAAAAACGACAGGAAAAAGTATTTTCACCATATATTACCAGAACTGGTCACTAGAGGGAGCCAGAGGCCATGCAACGTAGTCTTCAATAGCAAGAATACATAGCATGATCTCTGGCTCCCTCTAATGGCCGTTTCTGGCAAATCATTAAAATACAGTACCTATTTCTATGTGTGTTTTTCTTTAATATTTTTATTATTTTCAGACTGTGGATAAGTGAAATCATGGATACCAATCCCACAAATATGGGAGTCATACTGTATTATGTGAAAAATAGGGAGCTGTCAGCCTTAGCCTGCTATTAGCAAGCTTACAAATGCTTCACATTTCTGTGTCACCAGGCTTGGGTGAACAGGGCTTGGAGAAGTTCCATGGCCGTAAGTAACAGAGAGAACCACTCCCAAAATGTGTCACGAGGTTTTTTCTTCTTCTTCCCCCTCCTCTTCCTTACCTCTATTGGATAGCTGTCCTCAAACCCCGTGTCTGAGATTAAGACAATCTTATTCTTGGGAATATCACCGAGGATGAGCACCGGGACACGTAGGTGTGTACTCCACAAGGGACGTGACGGGTCGGTCAGACTTAGGAAAGTCTTCAAACCAACCAGCTAGAGTAGGCCAAAGGAGCAGACAAAAAAGAACATGAAAGCACAAGGAGTGTTTCTCCAACACAGCAAAAGCTACAGAAGTTCAACTAATACAACATGTAGTATCAACTGGCTGCATTTCCTCCAGATAGCGCCACTTCTGGCTGCATCCTGGAGTTGCATGCTGTGATGCTGCTCCATGAAAAAGCTTCATGCAAAGGGGGAAGGAGACCAGGGCAAGGAGAAACGTCACTGGATGTCACAGGCTGTCTCCCCAACATCCTAGCTTTGTACGTGGCAGGAGGGTTTGCTTGCTTGCATTTTGGAACAAGAGCATTCAGCCACGCCAACCCCCCTTCTGCAGTCTGAAGTGGCGCAAACCAGGAAATGCTGCCCCACTCAATTCCCGAGATGAGAGAGGAAGCCGGGAGATCTCCTGAGGCGTGATCATCCTGAAGGTTCGTCCGGCAGTAGAGGCGGCTGCTTCCTTCAGCCCACAGACCCCACTCATCCCAGTCCCGATGGCTGAATTTGACGGGCATTAAAAATGGCAGCTTGAATCGCAAGCTCAAAGTGAAAACTTCAAGAGTTGGCCTTCCCCGGCCAAAAAAAGATGATCATTTTCTTCAAACTGCTTGGTGGTTCTGGAGAAAGCAACACGGATTTCAGGCAACGATGCCTGCACTACACACTTGTGATTCTGTCACCTCACACTTACACCCAGGCATTGCCTCTCACACTCCTGAATGAAAAAGCCGGCAGTTCCATAGGGATCGGCACCACCAGCCCTGATCGCCGGCTGGAGAAAATGCCAAAGCTTCCCCTCTATTATCTGCATATTTATTAAGAGCATGGGCTGTTCTTATTAATATGATTTCCCTGAATTGGGAGTTCTCACCAACCCCAGTAATGTCACCTGTGATCCGATCCTGAATGTAATCCTGTTTTCAAATAATTTCACATATCCGTTCACGTTGATGGAGAACCTTAAAAAAAGGAGATATGAAAAAGAAGGCTACATAAAAGTGTTTCAGGAATGTCCCTCAGAAAGCAAGCCCCGGAGGAAAGACAGAAAGAACTGGGCATGTTTAGCCTTGAGGAAAAAAGGAGGGGAGGGGAAATAGGATAGCATTTTAGAGGCTCCTTCCAATTCCATTATTCTGTTATTATTCTATGATTGTATGGGATGGGAGGGGAAATAGGATAGCATTTTTAGAGGCTCCTTCCAACTCTATTATTCTGTTATTATTCTATGATTGTATGATTTAAGATGTCTACAATCCAACTTCCCAATAAAGCCCTCCAGGGAATTCATATTTAAAAATAACAACTTGCATTCAGGTTGTTGGACAGAAAAGAAAATCCAGCCAAGAGGATCACCAGGAGGTTAATATTGTGATATACAAGCAGAAGGGTCACCCTAAGAGGCACTGTTGAGATGAGAAGACCTAAATAGGAGTCGGACCCAGCCAGGCTGGTCTGCTGTGCTATCCATTCTCTCTGTAGCGAGGTTTAACCTTTTTTTAAAAAAATTGCTTTGAGTCGCAAAGCTAGGCAAGATGTTGGCACAGAAGAAAATCAGCGATGAGCACAAAGCGGCTCGTCCACAAACCGGTCAAGACAGTAGCACAGATGCTGCTGCCCCCCCCGCCTCCTCTGGTTCAATCAGCCCCTCACCCATCAGCCCGGCTTGCTAGTTTCCTGCCCCTCCTCAACTGATCTTCCAGTCCCGGCAAGAGCTCAGGCTTCTCTGCCCCTCCCCTCTGGGCTGATCTGCCAATCAGAGAAAAGGGAGGGGCTGAGAAGCCTGTGCTCTTGCTTGCGACTGGGAGATCAACCGAGGAGGCGGGGAAAGCAAGCCAGCTGGGCTTGGCGAAGGGCTGATTGCCTGAGGAGGCAGAGGAAGGGAGCAGTAGCTTCTGTGCTGCTGCCTTGACGAACTGGATCAAACTGGGATGAACCGGTTTGTGTCCCTCTCTAAAGAACATCTCTTCATGCTGGAACACAGGCCAGATCTTCCTCACCTCTTATGCTGCACAGGGAGACCAAGGTTATTGCTGGAGACCATCACGTCCATCACCGCACTGCCGTTCATGAAGGGCATCGGGGTATACCAGCACATCCTGCAAACCTCCTCACTGTCACAGGCTTCTGCACAGGGGGAAGGCACGAGGTCAGCAAATCACATCCCACCAACGTGACACGCCTTTCAGCCAGGACCCTTCCTTTCCAAGCAACTTGTGCCTCTGGCTTAAATTCAGAGAGTGCAGCTAGGCTGCTTAAGATGCCCACAGATCGTTATGCCTGACCATTAAAGGTAAAAAAGAAAGGGGGGGGGAATAAATGCAGGAAGAAGAAGAAGAAGAAGAAGAAGAATCAGCCAGGACCCTTTCTTTCCAAGCAACTTGTGCCTCTGGCACAACAACAACAACAACAACAACAACAACAACAACAACAACAACAACAACAACAACAACAACAACAACAACAACAACAACAACAACAAGAAGAAGGGCTGTGAAACCTTAAGGGCAGGTTTCAAAGCCACACAACATCCACCCACCACATGTGAGGTCAGGACGGCCACATTGGCCTCAGGGAATGAGGAAGGGGAAGAGAAGACGTCCCAAGTACCACTGAATCAACAGAACCACGGCAAGTCAACATGTATGTAAATTCAATAGATCCAATGGGTCTACTTTACTTAGGGTTTTGCAACTGTAATTGATTGTTTCATGCCCACTTGCAATCCTAAACAGGCATTTAATTCCTTGCCATTGACTGTGAAACCTTCAGGGCAGGTTTTAAAGCCACACAACATCCACCCGCCACATGTGAGGTCAGGACGGCCACACTGGCCTCAGGGAATGAGGAAGGGGAAGAGAAGACGTCCCAAGTACCACTGAATCAACAGAACCACGGCAAGTCAACATGTATGTAAATTCAATAGATCCAATGGGTCTACTTTACTTAGGGTTTTGCAACTGTAATTGATTGTTTCATGCCCACTTGCAATCCTAAACAGGCATTTAATTCCTTGCCATTGACTCCCACTGTTTTCCTTTTGCATCCAGAGCAACAGTTCACTCATTTTTATAAAAAAAAAAATTAATTCTTATTAGAAGCCCAAAAGGGTTTGCTGTATAGAGACGCTCTGCCCCAAGTAGAGGGTCTGGTTGGTTTTTTTTTCCTCCAAGGGATCCAAGGAAGCAGAGATGATCTTGCATTGAACAGGGAATTGGACGCGATGGCCTTCTAAGCCTCTTCCAACTCCATTATTCTATGATTCTATACTATTTGCAATTTTCTGGTTTACCTGTCTCTGGAAAAGAACAAAGTGGCCTCTCTAACCTTGCCAACCTGGGACTCTACAGATGACACACACATATACACAAAACACTTTTCCCCCTGAGCTCCAGAAGGACAACAAAATACCTGAAATCCTGAACGGAGCGGCTCTCATTTCAATCCGCAGTTGCTCTTGTTTCTGACGCACAGAGTGGATGGGCTCCTCAAAGGTGACCGTCACAATGGGCAGCATGCCGCTGTAATGACCCGCCCGGAGAGACAATTCGGCATCCTGGAAAGGGGAGGGCGGTTGGAATCTCTTGAAAGCTGGTCACCCCCCCCAAGGCTTTGTGACAGATTTCCTACAGGACCTCACTGTGATGACCGCCCCCCCCCAGCACACACAAGCCCACTGAAAAAGGAAATGAGGGTGCCTCTCAAACGCAACAAAACATGGCTGGTAAGAGAGAGGATCACAATAGCAGTGACTTACAACTAATCTGGATGTACACCAGGTTTGCACACTTCCAGATTAAAAGAGGGATCCAGCACTACTACCCCTTCGACCAGAATTTATCTCCTGCCCAGGAATTCACAGGTTCCTTCCGAAAGAGAGAGCTTTTCCCTTACCGTCTGGCTGCACGTCAAATTAATCTTCAGGAAGTACGGAAATCCCAGGTAATGCTGGGGGTAAAAAAAGAGAGCATTGTTTCAGGACATTTTTCCACACAATCTCCAATAACTTTATATTTTGTCCCGGAACATCTTTTGAATAAAATGCCAGCTTGACCTCTGCAGCATCGACTCAGGTTACGGTTGAGTGAAGTACTAATTAAGCGCATCGACTCGGGTTACGGTTGAGTGAAGTACTAATTAAGCCTCAAGAAACAGGTTGTTGTTGTGTTGCTTAAACTAGATGGGAATGAAGGAGAACAATCCAAGCACCTGCTCCAGCTATGAAACGCCCGGGTGGGAAATGAGAACCTGAGTAGACCCAGTCTGTCCTGACCGGGGTGGGGGAAGCTCCACCGGTCCCAGGGCACCCCCCAGAAGAAGGGAAGGGAGAAACACTTCTGTGTCTTGTCTTCTCAAGCTCCGCTGGTCCCAGGGCACACACCCCCTCCCAGAAGAAGGGAAGGGGGAAACACTTCTGTGTCTTCTCTACCCGTGGACAGTTCTGGACAAAAAGGAATACTGTATTATAAAGCTGGGAAGGGTGCCAAAAGATGAAAGACCTTCCCTAGCTGCACATGCAGAAACACTTCTGTGTCTTCTCTACCCATGGGCAGTTCTGGACAAAAAGGAATATTGTAAAGCTAGGAAGGGTGCCGAAAGGGACAACCCGGGAGATGAAAGACCTTCCCTAGCTGCACATGCACTAACAAGCAGAGCCATGTAGATTAGGAAAAAAGGAAAATATGTACATCGTGTTATGTACATCATAAAGTTGACAGCGACCATTTTAATCCCTCTGAGATAACCCCAGAGCCCAATAGGGTCACCCAAAGCAGCTAACTAAGAAAGATTCAGGATGGTTGTTGTGGGTTTTTCGGGTTCTTTGGCCATGTTCTGAAGGTTGTTCTTCCTGATGTTTCGCCAGTCTCTGTGGCTGGCATCTTCAGAGGAACAGGAGTCGGAACTCTGTCCATGCTCTGTTGCTGTTTGTTGGATAGTTGAGTATTTATAGCTGTGGGAACAGCTTTTGTCTTTTTTAGGAGATAGGTTGATCAGCATGTTTTTGTTGTGATAAGGGGGGGAGAGATTATCTGTCACTGTGATTGACAGGTGTCGTTAGGAGCTTCTCTGCGCAGCACAAAGCAAACCTACGGAATTCACTGTCCTTTGTGATGGCCACCCACTGGAACAACTTAAAAAGGGGGGAATTGGACAGCTCCAGGGGGGGATAATACTATCCATGGCTAACTATTATGTTGGCTGCATATCAACTCACGTGCCTCTCAAGACTAGCAGCTAGGGAACGTAAGGAAGAGCTGTGACCCCCTTGAGGTCCTGTTTGTGGGCTTCTTCCTGGACCCACTTGTTGGGGATAATGTGTGAAAACAACGCTCACACGTTACAGATAGGGCTCTGATCTGAAACCGCACCCAGCTTTCCTTAGGGTTGGACGACACTTCCGAAGCCCTGGTCTCCCGTCCTCTGAGACGCCTATCACTCATCCTCGCAAGAGCTCCTGTTCGGGACACCTTGACTCCGAACAGCCCTTCTGGGCCTGGAAGCAAAGGAAGAAACTTTTTTTCTGGGGCCTCCCATTCCCAAAGGGGGTGGTGGTGGCACTCACGGCATCTTTGTCGTTGGGGTCAATGGCCGAATCGATCAGTTCCTTGAAGACCTCCCTTACTTTGCGGATTTCATGCTGCCTGAAGAAGATATCTCGGCTCCCCCCGAGGTTATCATAACTGTTCAGCACGGCTAACCATCTGCAGTCCGGCAGGGAACATTCCGCACGCAGGAAGAGGACCAGGAACAGACTGGCCAGAAAGGGTGGCCGCATGACGGACGCCCCTCCTGGTGGAACCTACCAAACAGGGATGTGGAATTCAGCTTCTCGCTTCAAGGAAACCTCGCGTGCATTCCCAATGGGCATGCACAGATGGACCTGCACATGGGTGGACACATACACACACGCACACAACGTCTGACATTCTGGCCCACTCACCCAACATCTGGCCATTTTTCCAGTGTGAACAAAAATGGGAGGGGGGGCAGAACAAACAGAGCACTTTCCAAACTGAAGTTGGCTTGATAGTCCACAATGAGGTTCCGTGGATGTAAAAGGCAAGTTAAAGTCACACACAGATTCTGTCCCCAACGTATACACCTTTTTCTTCCTTTTACAGTATTAGCGAAAGGTTGCCTTCCGCTGCAAGGAGAAAAGCAACACACTGGCAGATGAACAGTGGCTAAAAGGTACTATCCGCCACCTTCCATTGGAAGTTGCCCTTTTTCTTTCTTTCACTTAGCTAAATTTCTCTCTAGAGACACCCCCGTTATTTTTAGGCAACACCTGCTAGCTGACGTCTTTCTCTAGGGAATCTTGTCTGCTCCTTTTCTCAGGAAAACTTACTAGAAAAGGGTTCAACAGCTGATTAGGCAACATGCAGAGTGAGCCCCGCCTTCAGCTAATTTTAATGTAGCTTTGTCTCTATTGCCACCCAATAATAAATCCACAGACTCAGATTGAAACGCGAGATTGGCCCCATTTGAGGTTGGATCGGTCACAGACATCCTAAACACAACACTCTGGGGAGTATGAAGACCTCTTTTGCCCCCCCCTCATTTTAATTTAGACGGGGAGAGGGAAGTACATCCTAGACATGACAGGATTAAGAAAGGATGGCAGGGGACCTTGACACAGGTGTAACAGAAGGACTACAGTAAATCTAGGCTGCCCTCTCGTCGGTTTTTCTTGTTTTGCATGCAGTAGCTCTAAATAACAAAGCATTTACTCGGGATGCACGGACTAAACAATGACACTGAGCTACTCTGAAACCAGTCCCCCAGGTCCTTCAGCTGTTAATTTCTTTTTCCTGTACTTACTTTCCCCACTTATCTTGAAACTCCAACTATATCAATCTGTACTTTTGATTTCCTACCAAAGTCACCAAACTATTCCAAGTTTCTGTATTTTACGTTTCTTATGATTCATTGGCTCTTTGGTCTTTAAGCCTCTTCGTTGATTCCTTTCTTAATCTTATTATTTATTTATTTATTTAGCTTTCGTTTTGCTTTGTCTGATATTCTTGATCTGCACTATCTTTTCAATGAGTTCATGATTCCATGCCACACAGCAGAACCAAAAAAAATATGTTAACACTGTACAACATGCTTTCTCCCAGGCAATTTTAAATTTTCCTGGCACAGTACATTCTTCATTTAACGGACGCTATGCCCACTTTACTCTGACTTCTACAGTATTATGAATCCCACTGCTCCTTCGACCATATCCAAAGGCACTACCATCTAGCGGGCATACGGTATAGCATCAATCTAAAAATGCTTTCTTCCTCAAGATGCATGTATAAACAATAACAGCTGGAGAAAAAACCTTGAAAGGGTCCATACCACCAAAACCCATCAATCCATGGCTGCTGGAATAAAAATAAGTCATTGATGGAGGACCAGAAGAGGCCTAGGAGACCTCCTGATATGGTTGGTATTCAATGATTTAAGGCAGAAACAGCCCAGACTGGCAGTTTCCCATTTGAAAGGTAATAAAACTTCATGCTCTGGAGAGGGGCATTTTCTTCAAGTTGAACCCAATCAGGAAGGAACATGTCCCTGATAAAGGCCAACTGAATGCTGCTGCTCTTTACTCAGATCACTATCGCCTCAACCAGCCATGACAGTCCTGAGGCACTTCCTAACTTTGGCACGCTGAAATCACCTCTTGCCCCAATTTGGGAGACCCCGCACAGCAAAGGAACCAAGATCCCTTTGACAGCCTGAAAGATTTGGGCTTTTTTGCCCCAACTCGTGTATTGGTGTGACTTGTTGTGTCTGGTCACACGACCAGCATTCCAGTTATTTATCAAAAATGGAAATACAGCCGGCTCCCCATATCCATGGGATCACTATCCACAGTGTCACTTGTCTGCTGCCTGAAAATATAATAAAAAAAAGAAAACCCAAAATACATGTTTCCAAGATCTATTACGGTATTACCAGAATTGGCTACCAGAGGGAATTAGAAACTACCATTTTTTAAAAATTATTTGTATGCTTTTTTTCAGCTTTAAATATTTTCTCTCAAGGATGTAAGCCACCTTGGATCTTTTTAAGGAGAAATGAGGGATAGAAATTAATTAATTAATTACATCTGTGTTGCATATAGGCTTTGCTTATCCCCAATTTCCAGCCTGGAGGGGNGCTTATCCCCAATTTCCAGCCTGGAGGGGGCTTGGGACTAATTCCCTTCCCACCCACCCCAATTTTCTACCATTAACTGCACACACCCTAATTAAATCAGCTCAGCTACATAGTCCCTCAGGCTGCTGACGTCATCTGACCCTGGTACCCCGCCCAGCTCCTTGCGTTATGACGCCACGGGGCGTCATGTGCCAGCCTGCTGGGTGATGACGTCACTCTGTCGACGTATGAACGGGGCGTCATGTGCCAGCCCGCTGGGTGATGACGTCACTCTGTTGACGTATGACGTCACTGTTATTTATGACATAATATTCCCCAAGCGTTTCCCCCTCGGTGTCTCTCTGGAGCATTGTGTGAGCTGCGGCCCTAGACTAGTCCTTGATTCTTTCCTGAGTTGTTGTTGGTGCTGCTCCTGCTCCTCCATCTCTGGCTCCTTCGCGCTCCTTCACTTCCATGTCTGCCCCGTACTCCTCACTGCTCTTCCTGGTCCATCAAGAAAAAAAACGGTTAGGCCCCTTCTGCGCAGGCGCCGATCACCGGCCCGGAGAAGGCAGGCAGGGGGAGGGGCGCTGCTGTTTACGTCACTGGGACGCGCGGCCAAGCCTGGGTTGCTCGGGCGCCGTTTCCATGGAGACGGGCCGGGCCGTAAAGCGAGGCGGGCGGCGCTCTGTTTCGCGACAGCGGGGGTTGGGTGGACGCCGGATGCCGATTCATGGCCGCGGCGGCGACGGTGGTGGTGATGGCGGCGTCCGGAGGGCCGGTGCTGAACGGGGCGGAGGCGACCGTGGCGGGGCTGAAGGAGGCGGCGGGCATGTACGAGCAGCTGCGGGCCGAGTGGAACCGCAAGAACCTCAACCTCAACAAGTGCGGGGACCTGCTGGGCCGCCTGAAGTGAAG